GTATACCGACTGTCGGAGGAGGGGGTACCGATCGCTGAAGGGCCCTATTTGGTCGATAAAAAAAAAACAGCGCCAACTGGCCTTCCTACTCGGTCGGTAAAACAGATCCAAGTGAGCCAGAAACGGCCCTTCTCATCTACTTCCCTCTTCACCTCTTTTTCCTCTCGTCTTCCGCAGGCGATTATTGCGCGACATCACGTTATTCCTTCGCACTAGCGGGAGTGAAACTTCTCCCGATATTCACGAGCTGTCACTACGAGTTCCGTAAGTCGCTCTTAACATTTTTCGTCCGGTTCCTTTTCCTGATTCAATGTTCTTCCTCTTCGGGGTCTGTCCGGAAGGAACGCAATCTACGGGACGCAAGGATCGCCTCTATGCCCCGTGTGCAGAAGACGCACGAACGCAACGTTATGCCATCCAGAATATTTATCGTATAGTCGGTCGGTCTGACTTCGCTCACTTCCTTTTGTCTTTTAGTTACTCGCTCTATCGCCTTTGAAAAAAACTAAATCGCAAATATTTGCTCACGCGAAATTTTGTGACTGGCACTCAAAAGCCCACGTCACAAAATTAATAAACTTAAAATTCAATTTAATTCAATTAATTAATTATTTAATTAAGACTGAATATCCATATATGTTCCTCAATTATAAAACTCTACTGTTAATTTTTATCCTAATATTATATATTTTTTCCGTATAAGGAATTCGGTAATTAGTCTGTATGCGTTCGATGCAACCTCATTGTCTTATGTTATTCTGATCTCTCATTTTTACTCCAGATACCTGCGTTATTTGGATCTGTCTTACAATCTCATCGAATGTATTGAAAACTTGGACAATCTACATATACAGGAACTGCATTTAGAATGCAATTGCATAACGTCATTTAAATCAGATATACCAGATCGTGATGTGAGCATATTACCTGATCTACGAACGATATTCTTGGCACACAATAGACTATCAAGCCTGCAATTCTTCAAAGTAATCGTCGAAAACGCATCATATTTAAAAATTTGCGGATCAATCGCTTCTTTCTCACGAGCGAATCAAATTACATTTTCAGAATGTGAACAGCCTGCACTTCGTGGATTTAAGATACAACAAAATCACCGATCTCCTGGAAGTCCTGAATCTGAAAGACTCCATATACGAAGTAGACTTCCGGGGCAACGCTTGTATAAAGTGGCCGAATTATCGAAATATATTGATATCTTCCATACCGAGTATTAAATTTATCGATGGCGTCGAAGTATTGGCGGCGGAAAAGGTATCTCAATCATGGTTTTTATTCGGAGAGAATTTTACAATAAACATTACAATCACAACATACATTACATAGAATTCTATCATCGAGAAACATAATGACATTTTCCTCCTCCTCTCTTCTTTCCTACTTCAAATTATTATCCTTCCGTTTCATCCCTCGTGAAAAGACACTGAAATATTAAGTGTTTATACTCAAATATCAATATTGTTGTAAGCATAACCATGAGATATGTCGATTGCCATAAACAAATCACGATCGCACGTTACCTCAATTACGAAACGTTACCTTGCAGAAATGCAACTCTGCATTCTGGCGAATGCAATACCGAAATCATGATGGTCAGCGTTCACACATACCAGGTGTAGAAGTATGAAACCGGAATTTTTTTGTAAAAATTACACGTCTGTTGTTTGAAAATGATAAAAAATATTTTATTCAAAATAATGTCCATTGCTATTTATACATTTTTCCCACCTCTCCGGCAGTTTATGAATGCCACGCCAAAAAAACATTTCTTCTTTTGAAGCGAACCAGCTATCGAGCCATTTTCGTACATTTTCATACGAATTGAAGCGTTGTTCAGCGAAAGCGAGTCCCATTGATGCGAATAGATTATAATCGGACGGAGCCAAGTCTCGAGAATAAGCCGCATGCATTAATATTTCCCAACTGAACGCCTCGATCGTTTCCCTGACCCGTTTTGCTGTGTGTGATAGGGCATTATCATGGAGCAAAATGACTTTGTGTTGCCTTTTTCCATATATCGGTCGTTTTTCACGCGATTTAAATCGATCATTTGCTTTTGGTAGCGATCAGTGTTAACGTTTTCACCAGGTTTTAGCAGCTCATAATAGATTACACCGTTCTGATCTCACCAAACACAGAGCATTGTCTTCTTTCCAAAGCGATAGCAGTGGATATCGATGGTTCGCCTGAATTCACCCATGATTTCTGACACTTAGGATTCTCAAAATATATCCATCTTTCATCACCTGTCATGATGGACTTTCTTTTGTATCTGTCGAGCAGCATTTTACAAGTGGTTTTTCGATTTTCTTGCTGTCTTTCATTCAGTTCATGCGGAACCCATTTTTCCACTTTCTGAATCTTTCCCATGGCTTTCAAACGAATTGAGACAGCTTTCTGCGTCACATTCAATTCATCCGCGAGTTCTTCTTGAGTTTGAGTATCATCTTCATCCAATAAGGCATGCAAT